CTGGATGTTCCTTTTGATGATGTCCCTGGTCAGCTGAACCTTGCCTGTGCTGGGGTCCACTCCAGCCAGTGGCACCATGACCTCCCCGATGACATCATCCCGAGAGAAGCGATCAAAGCTGAGCACGAGGAAATGTAGCACCAGGTCCTGCAGCTGGCTGTATGGAATTCCGTAGAAGGTGAAGGTCTCATCAAATACAGGGTCCAGGGTCTTGCGAAGCACTCGGGTCTTCACTCGGTGCCTCTTGTCTGGAAGGATCGTCATCTTGATGTAGGGGTCAGAGCCCTGGGTTTGGTCATCCATCACTGGCAGCCCGTGGGCCTCTTGGATTGTCACCACCAGAGCTTTTTTGGGAAAGTTATAGTCCACCGAGAAGGTAAGGGATCCGAGCATCACCTCTTCCTCTGGTGATGATGGGGAGGTGGCTTTGCTCTCACCAGGGGTCAGGCTTGTCATGGGACTCCTCAGTTCTTCCCCATAGTCTCTTTTGATGGGTAACTGGTCTATACAAGATGCAGAGCTAGGCCCTCTGGGGTCCTTTTCTTGGCTCAGCAGGCCAGACTCTGCCGCATTTACTAACAGGTTCCCTCGTGCACTCTCCCTCCGGAGACCATCTTTGTCTCTCCGGACTTTGATGATTTTCTTCTTGTTGCTGAGGGTCTCTGGGTAGATGCTAATGCCTTTCAGCATGTGAATAAACTTGTATGGCGGGGTCTTGTGCTTCTTCTCTGCCTGCTGGTGGCAGCATGTCCACACAAAGACAGTCACAGAAACACACACCACCAGCACAGAGGCCCCGATGAGGCCAGCCGCCACTGGTGACACATCTGAAGGCAGAGACCAGAGTTGTGTCAAAACAGCACTTCTGCTCCTGGCAAGAGAGCGCCCCTCGTGGGGCCCAACTAACCCTCAATCCAGCCTCCACAGTGCAAGCCCATCTGGGCTTTGGAGCTTTATCTGCTCACTGCCCAGGAGGTGACCAGTACCCTTGCCTTCCTGCTTGCTAAAGCCAGGGAACACTTTTGCTTAGCTGCTGTTGCTGCTGTTGTTTGAGGCAGGGTTTTACTGGCTGTGCTGCCGCTTGCCATATTTTTGTCTGCATATATGTGTGTGTAGCACATACATCAGAGCCTGATGTTCATGGAGGGCAGGTGTCTGATAACTGGGAACTGGAGTTACAGATGGTTGTGAACCACCATGTGGATAGTGGGAATTGAACCCAGGTCCTCTGGAAGAGCAGCCATTGTTCTTAACCAGCGATCCATCTTGACAGTCCCTGATTCTTTTTTAAAAAAAAACCTTTATAGCACTTGCAGGTTTGATTGTTCAGTTTAATTTGTGCTTCCCAGAAAGCCATGCCCTGAGTATTTGAAGGTTGCCTTTTGTGTAGGACTCTGTTTACCTCAACCTTTACATAGAGCATGAGCTGTGTGCTTGGTTTCATGAGGATGTTCCAGTACCCCAATACAGACAGTCAACGGTGGGGCTGTCTTGCTAACTGATTGACAGCTGTGTGGGAAAGGGTATAGTATTGAGTTTAGTTGATCTTTGGAGGGTGACTGGGAGTGGTCAGAGTGGGTATGAAGCTAGAAGAATACTGAGCAATGATGAGTAAGTACCTCATGCCGCAAACACTGTTGAGTCGGAGGCAAGGAGGCTGTTGCAGATTGAGACTGTCCTGACTCTAGTCTCATCTAGTAAGCTTCAGGTCCATCTAGATTGCTATGAAACTATCTTTAAAAAAATAAAAAGAGCAGGGCGTTAGTGGCTCACGCCTTTAATCCCAGCACTCGGGAGGCAGAGGCAGGCGGATCTCTGTGAGTTCGAGACCAGCTTGGTCTACAAGAGCTAGTTCCAGGACAGCCTCCAAAGCCAAAGAGAAACCCTGTCTCGAAAAACCAAAATAAATAAATAAATAAATAAATAAATAGATAGATAGATAGATAGATAAAAAAAGTACTAGTGGGACAGGTCAGCAGGTAAAGGTACTTGCCATCAGAGGCCTTATGGCCTGAACTCATCCCCAGAGAACACATGGTGGGAGACAAATGACTCCTCCCACAAGCCCTCTAACCTCTCCACACTTACCATGTGTGTGTCTCACCCAACGGAATGAATAAATAAATATCAAAAATGGAAAAGAGAAAAAAGGAAGGAAAAGAGCTCTGGGTCTGCATACGAACACTTCTTAACTTGTTACAAAGTCTCTGGTCCTAGGTCCTTAAAATACAAGTGTCTGTTATATAAGGAGTCATGTTTATTTTCTTAGTATTGTTTTTTTTTCTTAGTATTTTAAATAGGAAGAAAATGTAAAATTAATTTTCTTTCTTTTCTTTTCTTTTTTTTTTTTTTTTTTTTTTTTCTTTTTTTTTTTTTTTTTTTTTCCTGAGATAAGGTCACACTGTGGAGCCCAGACTGTCCCAGAACTCAATTTAGACTGGCCTTGAACTCACAGAAATCTGGCTGCCTCTGACCATTGAGAGCTGGGATTAAAGGAATTTGACACCACACACAGCTCAGATATAATTTTCTTCTAAAACCTTCTTTGAGTACCTCATTGATTGGTTGGTTGACTTCAGTGCCTTTTTCAGAGAAGCCAGCAGATCCAACAGTCTGCTGCTGAGTGCTGACAGCTGTATTTAAAAGCACAGCCTTAGCTAGGTGGTGGTGGCATCTGCCTTTAATCCCTCGAGGGGCAGGGACAGGTAGATCTTTGTGAGTTCAAGGCCAGCCTGGTCTACAGAGAAAGTTCCAGGACAGGCTCCAAAGCTACAAGGAACCCCTGTATTGAAAAAAAAAAAAATTCAAACAAACAAAAAAAACAACTCCCCCCCAAAACACAACAAAAACCAAAACCAAACTAAATAAAAGAAAACACCTTTCCCTCCCCCAATACTCACTCTCCTTAACCCAGCCTACCTTCATGGACCATATCATTCTCTTTGCTCTTACACCCATGTGCTTGTGTAAAAGAACTATATATAACGCAGGTGTGATGGCACACGATTTTAATCCCAGCACTCAGGAGGCCGAGACAGAAGGATCTGTGTGAGTTTGAGGCCAGCCTGGTCTGTACAATGAGTTAGGACAGCCAGGGCTTCATAGAAAGAACTGGTCTCAAACCTACAACCCAACCCCCCCAAGACAGAAAGAACTATATAATGTTCGCATTTGTAAGAATCAACGATTGGATGTGGTTGACACCTGTATCCCTGCACTAGGGAGGCAGGGCCAGGAGGTCGGGACCAGCTTGGACTAACTACATGGTGAGTTTGGGGTCCTACTGGACTGCTTGAGACCCTGCCTCAGAAGAAGAAGAAAGCTGAACGAGGATGTGGTGTGAATACATAATCCCAGCACTAGGGAAATAAGGGCCCCAGGATAAATTCAGCACCATCCTCTACTACATAGCAACTCTGAGGCCAGTCTGGGCTGTGTGGGATCTTGTCTTTACAAAAAGAGAGCATTGGAGAGATGGCTCAGTGGCTACGAGTGCTTGCTATAAAATCCTGAGGACCTGAGTTTGGATCCCAGAACCAAAACCCAAGTTGGTATTAGTCTCACAACTTCCTGTCATCACCGAGCCATGGGGAGGCAGGGACAGGAGAGTTGCTGGGGCTTGGTGCCTTCCAGCCTGTGGAAAAGCATGAGTGCATGGATACACCCCAGCCTCATACCAATGACAAAACAAGTATAAACACAAATAAGAAATAAAGAAGGAAGAAGGGGTGAGTACGTGATTGGTACAGTGCTTCTCTACCATGCATGAAGCCCTGGGTTAGAGCTCAGGCCACATAAAGGCAGGCAAAGAGGTATATGCCTGCAGTCCCAGCACTAGAGAAATGGTGGCAGGAGGATGGAAAGTTCAAGGTCCTCCTTAGCCAGGTCTCAAGTTCAAGTCCAACCTGAGCTACCTGAGATCTTATCTCTAAGTAAGTAATTACATTATAGCCCTCCCTAGCTGGCCTTAAACTCACCATCCTCTGGCCCTAGCTTGTGGGTTTAACCACTGTGCCTGGTTTCATTGTTTTGAAATTTATTATCTTCCCTGGAATGTAACCCTTGTGAGGACAGGCCATCCTGTTCGGTGGTGTAAGGCAATGCTTGAACACACAGCAGGCATGTAACCGTACTATCTGCTAGAAGAGCAAATAACTAAAGAGACAGATCAGTGATCTGTCTTCCCTTCCTTAACTCTCCCTTCCACTAGTCTTGTTTATCCTCTAAAAATTGAGCCTGTGTTATCTAAGTTCATTGAAGCCACATTGCTTTTAGTTCCTAAGGCCTGTAGTTTTCACCTTATATTTTAGAGGAAGAACTGGAAGACAGGAAGAACTAAGGAAATAAATACAATTCTAGCTTGTTCCAGATTCTTCCTGAATACCCTGATAGCCTTTCTCAGGCATCCACATGGCTCACTGTCTCAATCACTTTGGGCCTGGGGCCAGCTTCATGAGAGAAACATCTGCCCCAAAGAAACAAAAGTCATCACCTTCTTTGTTTTCCTTCATTGTGGTTATTACCCTGACCGCCCTCCCTTTCCCTATCCCTATCCCTATCCCTATCCCTATCCCTCTCCCTCTCCCTTTCTCTCTCTCTCTCTCTCTCTCTCTCTCTCTCTCTCTCTCTCTCTCTGTGTGTGTGTGTGTGTGTGTCTGTTTCTATCAACAGAGCTGTCTTCTATCTCTGTCGAAGCTTCACAGCTGCTGTGAAGCCAACAGTTTTGGCACAGTTAATACTCCATTACGCTGACCTGCTCCAACATGGGCCACAGACATGGGTCAGCCAGCAACTGACTTTTTTCTCTGAAACCACCAGCCAAAACAAACCTTTTTATTATCAAAACCAGAAGACAGACTTGGTCCACTTTATTACTTCAGTAAACTACAGTTTAGAAAAAAAAAAAAGACATAAAAACAATATGATTGCAGGCATCACAGAAAAATACAAAACCTTCTGGAGACTTAAAAGCCTACCTATAGGCAATATCTTTACTTGGTAAGTTTGGGCAAAGATGACTTGGTAAGTTAGGTGACAACTTGGCCAACATTAGGTTAATGCTGGTTTACATTAAAACACAAAGTCTGCCTCTTACAGGAGGTGGTGTAATTAGGTCTGCACTGGGCATATCAACATCCTGTTCAGCACTGACTACAATGAAATGTTTGTTGTCCTTAGTTACACATTTTAATGTGTATTTATTAGACTCCTGCAAGGCATTATGGTACAGACGTTTTAGTATTTGAACCAAAGGACTCAGTGAATAATTGAATAGGACCAGTGACCCCCCCCCTCGTTTATATTCAAGCTCCTCTGCCTAGGACTACATATTGGCAAATGCCATTGACAGGACTTAACTTCTGACCTGCCTCCCACCAGAATCTAGACTCTACATTATGCATACATAATTGGGATACTTGAAAAAAAAATACAAAAGAAGGATGAAGGTGCTTTCTGCCATGACTGCTGAACCTATGTGATGGGAAGTCTTCTGACTTCCACATGTACTTTTTAAAAACATACTTATGTGTCTGGGTGGTGGTGGTGACACTTTTAATCACAGCACTTGGGAATCAGGTACATCTCTATGAGTTTGAGGCCAGCCTATTCTACAGAGTGAGTTCTACACAGAAAAATCCTATCTACAGAGAAATCCTGTCTAGAAAAACCAAGAGAAATCCTGTCTTGAAAAACAAAAGAAAACAACAACAACAAAACACCTTAAGTCCTTTCACATATGAATAAAGAAATAAGATAAAACAAATTGAGGGGGCTGGAGAGATGGCTGAGAGGTTAAGAGCACCGGCTGCTATTCCAGAGGTCCTGA